TACCTGAAGAAATAACAGCTGAAAACTTTTCAAACTGGAAAGAGACATAAACCTACAGATTCAATAAGATGAGTGATCCCCAAACAGGACAACGCCAAAGAAATCCACACCAAGACAAATCAGAGTCAACTTCTGGAAACTGAAGACAAAGAAAAAAATCTTGAAAGCAGCAAGAGAGAAATGACACTTTACCTCTAGCAGAAAAACCATTAGAATGACAGTGGATTTCTTATTAGAAACCATGGAGGGCAAAAGGTAGTGGCATACTAGCTTTCAGATGCTGAAAGAAAAGAACTGTCAATTCAGAATCCTATACCCAGTGAAAATATCCTTTAGGAATGAAGGAGAAATCAAGATATCCTCAGATGATGGAAAACTAAGAAAATTTGTCACCAGCCAATCTGCCCTAAAAGAAGTTCTTTAAATAGAAAGGAAATGGTAAAAGAAGGAATCTTGCAACATCAAGAAGGAAGAATAAACAATAGATAGAGTAAAAACATCGGTAAACACAATATATTTTCCACTCAGGTTTTCAAAATTATGTTTGATGGTTGAAGCAAAATTATAACATTAATATGGTTCAAAATGTATGTAGAGGAAATATTTAAGACAATTATATTATGAATGGACATAAAGGGAGATAAGATTTCTATGCTTCACTCAAACTGGTAAAATGTCAACACTAGTAGACTGTCATAAGTCATGTATATATAATTTAATACCTAGGGCAACCACTAAAAAAGCTATACAAAGATATACACTCAAACACCTTACAGATAAATCAAAATGGAATTCTCAAAAAATGTTCACATAACCCATAAGAAGCTGGGGAAAAGAAAAAGAGAAATGAACAACAGAAAAAATAGAAAACAAAAAATAAAATGACAGATTTAAGCCCTACTATATCAATATTTACATTAAGTGTAAATGGTCTAAATATACCAATTAAAAGGCAGACATTGGTAGAAGGGATTAATAAACATGACCAAACTATATGCTGTCTACAAGAAACTTACTCCAAATATTATGATATAGGCAGGTTGAAAGTAAAAGGATGGTAAAAGATTTATAATGAAAACATTAATCAAAGAAAAGTAGCAGTAGCTATTTTAATATCAAATAAAGTAGACATAAGAGCCAAGAAAATTACCAGAAACAGAGAGGGATATTATATAATGGTAAAAGGGTCAATCCATCAAAAAGACTTATCAGTCATAAATATGTATGCATCAAACAGTAGAGCTACAAAATATGTGAAGCAAAAACTGATAGAACTAATAGAAATAGACAAATCCAAAACTACAGTTGGAAAGTTCAACACCCCTCTCTCAACACTTGATAAAACAACTAGACAGAAAATCAGCAAGGATATAAAAGAACTCAACAACACCAGCAGCCAACAGGATCTAATAGACAATCAATCCAATAACAGCAGAATACACATTCTTTTCAAGGACCCATGGAACATAAACCAAGATAGACCATATCCTGGGCCATAAAATAGACCTCAACAAATTTAAAAGAATTGAAATAAAGGTGTGTTTTCTGAACACAGTGGAATCAAACTAAAAATCAGTTAACCAAAAGTTAACAAGAAGATCTCCAAACACTTAAAAATTAAACAACACACTTCTAAATAATCTACGAGTCAAAGAGGGAGTCTCAGGAGAAATAAAAAATAGTAGTACATCTAACTAAATGGAAATGAAAATACAGCATATCAAAATGTGTGGCACACAGCTAAAGCTGTGCTGAGAGGAGCGTTATAGCACACAGTAGAAGAAAAGTCTCAAATCCATAATCTAAGCCCCTACGTAGAAAAAGAAGAGGAAAATAAACCCAAAATAAGCAGAAGGATGGAAATAATGAAGAGGAGAAATCAACGAAATTAAAAATAGAAAAGTTTGCATATTATATGATTCCGTTTATATAACATTTTTTTAAGTTACAAAATTTTAGAAATGGGGAACATATTACTGGTTGCCAGGGGTTAAAGATGGGTGTGAGGTAAGGGGATGAAGGGTGAAAGTGGGCGTGAGGGGCAGGAAGGAAGTAGGGGTGGCTACAAAAGTGCAACAGCAGGGATCTTTGTGGTGATGGAATTATTCTGTATCTTGATAGTGTCAATGTCAATATCCTGGTTGTGATATGGAACTATAGTTTTGCAAGATGTTACTACTAAGGGAAACTTGGTGTAGAGGATCCCTCTGTATTTTTTTTTTTTACAACTGCATGTGACTGTAATTATCTAAAATAAAATGTTTGTTTAAAAAATGAGTCTGAACTAGATAACAGTAATAGCTAACATTGCTGCATGCTAGCCACTATTCTAAACATTTTGCATGTATTACCTCATTTGATTTTCATAATAACTTTCTTTATGAGGGGTAGGTATTATTATGGTCCTTATTTTAAGAAAAGGAAGGCATAGAGAGGTTAGGGAAATTGCTGCAAGTCACACAGCTAGTAAGATCACAAATGGGATTCAGTCTCAGGGCTGTCTGACTCCAAAGTCTGTGCTCTAGATAATCTTAAGTGCAAAATAATATTCATAAAAGTGAAGAGTTTAGCACCAAGAAAACATAAAGTAAAGGAATAACTTGGGTTGGTGTTGGTCTGGGAAGAAATAACTATTTATTGAGCACTTTCATTCGACTCGACAGCAACAGGTTTGGGTTTTTTGGTTTTTTCATTTTAGTACTTACTTTCTATAAGATAAGCAAATAGGTTTCATCTCACAACTCTGACAGATTGACAGTGGCTGCCTACAATATTATGTTAACACAGATCCTGATACCACATCATAATTTGTCGCAGCGGCGACGGTAATCGGGACGGCGAAGACAGTAACCAACTGCACAACTCTTACAGAGAAGTGGGGCCAGGAGGGTCACTCTGAGAAGTCGACCCCCACTTCAGTCCCAGGAGTTTATTTTATAGTCAATACAGCAAGCGATAAAGCAATTAACAAAACAATGGGCTTTGGGAGTGGGCAAGGGAGAAGGAATTCAGGTAAACAAGTCAATCAGTAAAGGGACAATAGGTTTGGGAAAACACATCCAGACAAGTCTCGACATGTTGGAGCCAGGTCTCAACATCCTGTGCAGCATAGAGGCCTGTGGGGGCTGCAGTTGTCAATAGTGCAGCCATGTTTAAATGGCATATATCCCCACAATAATTGGGCAAGAAAGAATGTCATTGTTAATTTATAGATAGTTGCCGTTTATGAGGTGGAGGGAAGGGATGGCATGAAGAATGAGTGATATGTATTTGCATCTATCACTATTTTCAGATTTGAGCTAGGTGTTTTACATGTGTTATGAGGGAGCCCTGGTGGCACAGTCATTAAATTACTCACTTGGCTGCTAACCAAAGGTTGGCAGTTCGAACCTACCAGCGGCTCCAGTCCGCTTCTGTAAAGACTTACAGCTTTAGAAACCCTATTGGGTAGTTCTACTCTGTCCTGTACAGCCACTATGAATTGGAATCGACTCGAGGGCAGTGGGTTTTGTTTTGTTTTGTTTTATGTAATGTAAATCCATATCAAACACTGTTGAGTATTACATTTTATAGGTGAGGAAACTGAGGCTCGGAGAATTTAAGTAACATGTCCAAACTCACACAGCCAGTAAGTAGCAGGGCCAGGATTAAAGCTGGATTCTCCAAGTGCGGAAACCATACTTTTTCCTCCATACTTCCTGAAGGAGCGTTGGACCGGCAGAAATGGCAAAAAAGAAGGGTTCATGCATAAGCGAAGAAGTAGAATCAGCCAGTCACATAGAAGATATGAAGCAGATCAGCTTAACTAGAATAGAGGAGCATATTGGGCATTAATGATAGATTAAGGGAGATACAATGCCCAGATGATTAAAAGCTTTAAAACAGACTAAAAGACTTACCGTTCCCAGTTTGTTTGTTTTCTGAGAGCTTCTAGAGTAGTGGAGGATAAAGCGGTGATGAAGTAGTAGGCTTCAAGACTTTCATTTTCTTCTTCTTTTTCCCTCTTACTGAATAGTCTTCATTGGACTGTCCCAGTTTTCTTAACCTATGCTCTTAAGGGGATTGGGGCTCACCCACTCTCCATCAGTTTTCTAATTGCATTTTTATTATAAAAGATAGACATGTATATTGCAAAAAAAAAATCTCAAAAAAAAAGTGTCATCCCCAACCTTTAATCTTGTTCCCCAAAGGTAACTTCTGTTAACAGACAGTTTGGTGTATATCCTTTCAGATTATTTATATGTGTGTATGTTGTTGTTGTTAACTGCCATTGAGTCAGCTTCTGACTCTTGGTGACACCATGCACAACAGAAGGCTGTAGATCAGACCATTGTGATCTATAAAGTTTTTATTGGCTGATTTTTGGAAGTAGATCATCAGGCCTTTCTTCCTATTCTGTTGTATATATAAAATGTATTTATTTATGCCTGCAAGATATATATAAAACCTGAAGACATAAATACAGTCAGTTTAACTGTTCGTAGTAGAGATAAGAGTCAAAGGCCTAGAAGGTTGAGCTGGAGCCCATTTTTGTTGACTTGTCTTTTCCCCTGTGAAAAGCTGTATTCCTCACAGGGATGTTAATGTCTCCTGAGAAGGACTATCAAAGTTAGAATGAAAGGGCCTTCACAAAGGCAAAGGCTTGTTCTGGTCACCTTTTCCTTGCTTTCCCACATCAATCTAGAAGAGATTCTGGTAGTTTCTAGGGCAAGAATTTAAGCCAGCTGACAGTGACTGTGAAGAAAAAAGGAAGGAGTGCTTTTTCTGAGCCTCTGAATCAACACACAAGGACTCACCTTATCTCATCAATTATAGCTCATTAGAGAAAGAAACACAGAAGAGTTATCAAAGGGGCCTAAACTTACTTTTTTGTTGGAAACCCCTCTTTCTGAAAAAGGGCCATGGGCCCCTGAAGGGAACCTAATCTGTCCCACTGCTGGTTTAATGAAATTCTGCCCCATTTTCACTCTGATTTCCTTTTCAATTTGAACTTCCTGCAGCTATCAATGGGCATGTTAGGTTTTGGTTTCATTGCCACTTACCTTCCGGAGTCTGTCATCAGTGCTTACCTGGCTGCCACAGCACTACACATCATGTTGTCCCAGCTGACTTGTATCTTCGGGATTATGATTAGTTTCCATGCTGGTCCAGTTGCCTTCTTTTATGTGAGTAATTTCAACCCTCACCAAAAATGACAAATGTCCTTCCCCTTGTCTCCAAAGAGGAGTGGACCCAAGTGAAAAGATACTTGTCCATTCCCAAAAGGTGACACAGTCCATAAGCAGCTCCGTTAAGAGGGTTCTAGAAATAATTTCTTCTCTCCTACATTTGGGGTCTTGGTTAATTGCATGCTCTCAGTTCCGTTAACCATTTCAAGCCCACCCTTTAAACTAACATGATTTACATTAAAATTTGGTCTTTAAAATGGATAATGGTGATGGTTACACAACATGGCAAATGTAATTAACGTCACTTAAAAATAGTTAAAATTGCAAACATCTTCTTATATACAGTGAAACCTGTAAGAGCCGGAACTTGACAGGACCACCTTGTTTTTCCAGGTCTCAAAAATTTTCTACCTTTGACGGGGTGCAGTCTTAACCACTTTTCTATTGCCCTCTATTACTGGAAAATATTTTAGTTTTCCTTCTCGGACAGGTTTTTGCCTTACACATGTTCTGGCTTTCACAGATTTTACTGTATATTTTACCACAATAAGAATTTGCCCTTTAATAATTTTTCCTGATACATGCTACATAGTAGGCATGTATCTTAAAACAGCTAAAGAATATATAATACTAAGAAGTCCCTGAATGCAAGAATGAGGTAGGAGCTAAGCTAGATTTTGACTCATGGTGACCCTATGTGTGTCAGAGTAGAACTGTTCTCACTGGGGTTTTCAATGGCTGATTTTTCAGAAGTAGATCGCCAGGCTTTTCTTCCAAGGTGCCTCTAGGTAGACTGAAACCTCCAACCTCCTGGTTAGCAATGAAACATGTTAACCGTTTACATCACCCAGGGACTCCATATAACAAATATGGCCTAGGAAAATTAAGGATGAATAGACCAATAAGCAGAACTCCCAGGTCATTTCCGTTATACTGAAACACATAAAGTGAATTGTCTCCTTTTTGAACATTACTGTCTCTTTTTCAACTTTAAAAAAAACACACATATCTCCCCCAGGAGTGCTTGCCCTCACTGTTGTAGTCATGCTTATACAGACCTTTGTGGCCAGCATCCCTGCCTAAGGACTTCTTTTTAAACTAATCTGGAAAGAATACTATTTTCTAGATTTCGGCAATTATATTCCTTGCTCAATCTCTATAATTTTGTTTTCTTTCAGAACATAATTAACTACTGTGTATCTCTACCAAAAGCTAATTCCACGAGCATCCTACTATTTCTAACTGCTGTAGTCGCTCTGAGAATCAACAAATGTATCAAAATTTCTTTTAATCGTTATCCCATCGAGTTTCCCATGGAATTCCTACTGGTAGGTTTTTCATTGCCCCAAATTCATGGTTTAGATAATTTTAAGTACCTACTTTTTTCCCAATTAAATAAAAAGCAAGTAACCTAGGAAGAGAAAGGTTCATAAAAGCCTATAAAAATAATATTTTTTATAAACATGGTAAGTCGAATTATGACAAAGCTGAATACATTTAGTTTTACATACAAGCTTATATTTGTATAATATGCTTATTTTCAAAGTACTTTATCTGTTGCTTCTTTTAATAATATTTCAAAAACAGAAGGGCTTTTTTTCCCTATGAGAGTAATATGGGCTTGTTCTAGAAATTTTGAAAAACATACAGTAAAAAAAAAAAAAAACTCCTATAGTTGTACCACCCAAAGTGAACTACTATTAATATTTTTTTATTTTCAATTACTCACACCTTTGTTCTTGCAAACAAATATTTATTCATTACGTACTGTATGATAGACGTATGCTCAGTATTGGTGAATTTCCACCTTTTTTAATGTAGGTTTTGTTTCTGTTTTAATATAGTTGCCGTCATACTGTTATTCAGCCTCCTTTTATTCTCACTATGCTACAGTAAAGATTGAGGCAGATGGGATATTAAATGAATTATCTAGCAAGGGGCAGCTAGGGCTCAGTGCTGTCTAACGTCACATTTCTTGTTTCTTTTTTACAGTGTACTAGTAAAATTTACCTGTTGTAGTTATAATTAATATTTCTATGGTGATAAAGATATTTTCATAAGTAAGGCTCAGTTTTTTAAAGTCAGCATTTCTCTTTCTTAGGATTTCTGAATTCTTGGGTGTCTATAAGAAGGGTCCTGTGGCAGAGATATTTAAAGTTCCCCAAATATGTATGTGTTCCCTTGAATTTTCCAGCTTGCCTTGTAGTTAGGCAAGACCAGATGGCTCCTGGGCCAAAGTACAGGAGGATAGGTGTGAGTCCTCATGCTGTCTCCTCCCCTGCTGTGATGATCTAAGAGGTCATATGTTGAGATACAGAGTCCCCAGGTGGAATAAGCCTGGATCGCTGAGGCACTGTTTGCAAAGAAGCTGCCCTGGAGAGCCACCAGCCCCCAATGGACTTTATGTGAGCAAAAAATAACTTTTATTGTTAAAACACTAAGATCTCATGGTTTGTGTGCTACCACTGCATAGCCCATCCTTTACTAACTAACCAAGGTGCATACTCTTCAAGATTCAAAAACACTGCTTTGGGGATTGAGACAAAGCTCAGTCCCATATCTGTTGTATAACTCTTACGAAGGTGCATGTTCTTTCCTCTTTGGAGTAGTTAAGAAGCTATTCATTTCTAAAGGCTTGAAGCTGAAAGGCTGCTTTTACAAAGACTTTTCAAGACCTTGGACACAAATAGTGCTTCATTGCGTATGCGGAGTTTGGGGAGCGGAGTCAGAGGCAACTTCTCCTTCTCATGATGCCCAGCCCAGCTCTGGTACCTTAGGAAGCTGTGGCTTCAGGATCAACCACAAATAGTACCCATGGTACAGACATCAGCCTTCTCTTAAGAGACATCATCAGTGGGATGATGTCCCTTCAAGCAGCCTCAAAGGCAGTGGACATTAACCAGGGTTGTCAGGAAAAGGTAGAAGCAAGAGAATAGAGGATGCTGTGGATTGACTATGGCTGACAGACTGGTTTGTGAGCCATAGTTAAGACATTCCTTTGGGAAATGCTTAAATAATTAGAATGCACCATGGTGAGGTGGGGGAGGAGTTGAGATCCAGCAATAAAGTGGGAGGAGGCTTAGAATTATTACAATTTAGGCATTAAACTTTTTTGTGGCCTAATTTGTACTCACAGGCTACTGAAGCCTGCAGTATGGTATTTATACACATGTCAAGTCAACTGATGCTGATAGAGTTCTCTCTTTTCTTTCCGCCATGTAGCGGGGATTAGAGATGTACTTTAGGATTGAAAAAAAGCCCTCCTGGTTTTTCTTGGAAGCTGAGAAAATGGGAGAAGCAGGCTGAAAGCTGCTATGGCCTGGGGTATAAAAGGCTTCTCATATCAGCCACCGAGAAACTACTGCTTAGCTGTGCTAGAGGAAACTGCACACACCAACCAATCCATCCTTTAGCTATTATACTAAAATATTTAGAAAAAATTTCAAGGCACTATCTGGGACCCAGGTAGAAGATACAGACAAATATACTTGAGTTCTTTAACTATATTAAATTATATATACTATATGTTAACAATTACATGTATGTGTGTATATACACACACACACACATATTGTATAGCAAACACCCAAAAAGTGTCACCAGTATTTATCTTTGGTTTTTTATTTCCACTTTTTAATTTTCCAAATTTTCTTAATTTTCCTTAATGAACAAGTATTACCTTTATAATGGAAATAAGTTCCTTGGCCACTTAACACCCTTCTTGCCCCTTAACTATATAAAGTCTGAGACTTATCTTCTCTGACCAAAACTGTGATCCAGATTATTCCATCCATTCTGAGCTGTAGGCTTCCTAGGGGTCTTCATCTGATCACAGCATCATAGGAAACCAACTGTTGTCCTGCTCAGTGTCTGGTTGAACCCTTGAAGTTGATACTGGGAAAAGATTTATGTGTTAGGGAGAATGAGGTAAAGCAAATATATAACTATTACTTTAAAACCTGGGCATTGAGGTCTCTTGTTTCTGGAGCCCTGGTGGTGCAGTGGTTTAAGCATTTGGCTGCTAACCAAAAGGTCAGCAGTTCAAATCCACCAGCCGCTCCTTGGAAACCCTATGGGACAGTTTTACTCTGACCTATAGGGTCACTGTGAGTCGGGATCAGTTTGGTTTTGGTCTTTGGTTTAATTTACTTTGGTGCGAGGTCTTTATAAGGTGAAATAATTGCTAGGTTGTTATTTTCTCTCTAGTTGAAAGTTAGATACTGGAAGGGGGAATTGCCATTTTTAGAAGTAAATGAAAAACAAAGCAGGTAATTGCTTTGCTAAAGACTTTTTATCCCCCTGTGGTATCAGGGGCTGCTCCATATTATTAAGGGTTAGTCAGTATAATGATTCTTAGTATACCTCAACAATCCCCCAAAAGGCTTATCTATATTGGTACAGTGTACCTAGATCTAAAAACTTTAAAAAACCAGAGACCTTGATACACCATTAGCTGAGAACATGTTTATATTGGTTTAAATTTTTAAGGTTAGTGGGGAGAGAGAAGTCTGACCTTCTTGTGTTCCCATCATAGTGCCAGAGACTGAGACTGAAGTTGCTTTTCATTTTGGCTACAATGCTAAAAAGAGCTTAAGGAAGGACCCTTAGACTCTTAGAGTCAAAGAGGATCCCTGCCTTTCTTGCTCTGCAAAACTGGTCCTGCATATCTATCCAACCTTCATGTTTAGGGATTTCCACTCATTTCATTTCCTGTCTTCCCAGAGGCTATGGGCACGTCTGCTCCTGGAAGCAATGCACAATACTTAGATGATCATGTGCCTCTTTGTTTTTTTTTTTAAACCCCCTACAGATTGTTGGCTTTACTATAATTGCAAACAAGCTAAGCATGGCTACAGAAACCAGCAAGACGCTCATTGAAATGATTCCTTATAGGTGGGTAATTCCACTTTTCAGCACTGCTTTTCCTTTTCTATTGCCTTCTCTCAGTCTCTGACCACACAACCTAATTTTAGTCTCTACAAGTAGTCTCTGGTCACAGCCAAATTAAGAGTCATGGGATCAAATTCATGTTAGAATGTAGAGGTTTATGAAAGGAGAAGGGCTGGGACAACTCCTTGTTCCTTCTCTGATCAGTCTCTGTTTCTCTTCCGTTATTTGAGCCAATCCCCTTGCCCAAGAAAGCTCCTGGTTGCCCTGAATAAAAGAGAGACTCAAATGTTTTTTACCTAGTGCACTGTGGACCTTCTCCACCTCCATAACTATCTGATTGCTTCTCAAGGACAGAACAAGAGATGCCTCTGTTTTTCCCCCGGAGAGGGTAGTTCCTTCTGACTTCACCCGTGTAGACTGAATTGGTGCCCCTGAGCAACATTATTTTATTACTCTGGGAAGAAGGGCATCTTCAAACAGTCTGGCATAATGGAGTTCTTAAGAACTCGCAATGATTTTTATATTATAATTCCTATCAGTGACTATAGGGTAGCACTCTTGCTTCTGTTAGGAAATAACGATTTCTTAACCATTGGTAAGATGAATCACTAGCTACGAAAGGCAGTATACTGCAGTTTCTTGATGCATAGTTAGGCTTTTGAAGAGTACTGCTTATTTTCTCACTTAAACAATTGGAGGAAACCCTGGTGGTGTAGTGGTTAAGAGCTATGGCTGCTAACCAAAAGGTCGGTAGTTTGAATCCACCCTTCAAAACTCTACGGGGCAGTTCTACTCTGTCCTGTGGGGTTGCTATGAGTCGGAATTGACTTGACAGTAAGGCGTTTGGCTTGGTTTTTGGTTTGGACAATTGGAAATACTGCAAAGGGTAGCCAAGGATTCTTGCTAAACTCCAGGATATCAAACATAGACTACTTTGATGCAACCAGATTAAACTTGTCTCAGATCCTACACATTCTCAATAAAATCTGTCAATGGCTCAATTTGAGATTCTATTCCATTATTAAAAAAAAAAAAAGGTGAGTAGACACCATTTAGACAATACAAAGATAAATGAAACGTGGTCCCTGCCTACAAAAAAAATAACGGGAATTGACATTTTACATATTTATTTTATTTCATTTGATACAGTAATACTATAAGGTAGATAGTGTCTTCTCTTTATAGCTGAGGAAAATCAGGCTTACCAAGTTTAAATGACTTATCCAAGATCATACAGGTAGTCAGTGGCAAAGCTACTATTTGAGTCCGTTTCTATTTGATTCCAAAGTCCCTGATTATAACCATCTATTTTACTTACTCAATATGCTTTTGTTGTTACTGTCTTTATCCAGGACCACTAGGGACTAGTAAAATTTAAAACTAAGTTTGCTCCCTCCATGTCCATATCCATTTTAACCTAATTTGCCAGGAAAGAATAGAATGTTTCAGAGGAGAACAGTAGAAAGGAGAAAAGTAGTTTCTTTATAGTAAATATTCAAGTTTTATTAATACAGATTTGGGTGATAACTTGCATTTACTTTGTACCTCTTTGGGACAGCCACATTCTTGCCTAACTTCTTAAAAAGACAAAAAGGGGAAATTTGACAAGAAGCCACATATCTGCCTTTGAGCATCGTTATCTTCCTATGTAGCTCTTTGCCAGCAAAACACCAAGGTATTAAAAAATAGGAATTTAGATTCATGCACAGAGTAATGATGAGAAATGGGAAGACAGGATGAGATAGCACTTTGAGGTGCTAAAAGTGGATGCTTTCTACTTTAAGGAAAATGAAATTTAAAATGCAGGACCTTATAGTAAGAAAACTTAGATAAGAGATTATTTGCTTTGCAGAAAACTATATCACAAAATTTCTTTTAAAATAATTTTCCTGAATGTATTTAAAACATTGTTCATTTTATTGAATATGGATTTTTACACAAATTTTCAGAAGTAAACCAATAATTGAGTCATGCATATCTTTTTCTTTGATGGAATGACAAAAATAATCAAAAGAATAAACATTTTAATTGCAAACCTTATCTAAGATATTTAGAAGATTATTCTCTGATTTAGAAAGTAATCTAGAGAAGTGGAAACTGAGGTGTATTTGTGCTTCCAAATTTGATTTAAAGAATCTAAGGAAAAACAATGCTCCTTCAAAAATTATATATATATTTTTTTCCTTTTTTAGACTGTTAATAATCATGATTAATTTTCAAATGTTAAACTGACATTGTATTTCTAGGATAAACTCCACTTAGCCATGGTGTATTAGCATTTTATATATTGATTTGCTAAAATGTTAAGAATTTTTACATTTATGTTCATGAGGAATATTGGTCTGTAATTTTCTTTTCTTGTAATGTGTTTATTTTTGGTATTAGACTAATGTTGGCATCATAGAAGGAGTTAGGAAGTAGTTCCTCCTCTTCAATTTCTGGAAGAGCTTCTATAGAATTGGCTTTATTTCTTCCTTAAATATTTGGTAGAATTCATCAGTGAAGCTATTTGGGCCTAGAGTTTTCATTGTGGAAAAGATATTAATTATAAATTTAATTTTTTTTTAAATAGGCTATTTATTAAATGGAAACCCTGATGGCGTAGTGGTTAAGAGCTACAGCTGCTAACCAAAAGGTTGGCAGTTTGAATCCACCAGGCACTCCTTGGAAACTCTATGGGGCAGTTCTACTCTGTCCTGTATGGTCGCTATGAGTTGGAATCAACTCAACGGCAATGAATTTGGTTATTCATTTATTTATTTATTAAATAAAACTATTAAGTTATGTAATAATCATCCATAATTCAGCTGATTTATTTCTTCAGAGTGCTGTTACTTTTCAAAGAATTTGTCCATTTAATCTAAGTTGTCAAATATATTAGCATAAAGATATTTATAATATTCTCTTATTAACTTGTTTTAATAACAGGTTTATTGACATATAATTCATATACCATACAATTCACTTTTTAAGAAAGTATTCAATTTGGTGGATTATAGTATATTCACTGAGTTGTGCAACCATCATCACTATCTAATTTTAGAACATTTTCATCACCCCCAAAAGAAACCCTGTGCCCTTTAGCAGTCACTCCCAATTCTCCTTTTCCCCCAGCTAATCTACTTCCTATCTCTGTTGCTTTTCCCATTTTGGACATTTCATGTAAATAGAAGCATACAATATATGGTCTCTTGTGCCTGACTTCTTTCACTTAGCATAATGTTTTCAAGGTTCATCTATTTTGTAGAGTGTATCAGAACTTCATTCTGTTTATGGCTAGATAATATTACATTGTATGGATATACCACATTTGTTTATCCATTTATCAGTGATGGACATTTATCTTAGTCATCTAGTGCTACTATAACAGAAATACCACAAGTGGATGGCTTCAACAAACAGAAGTTTATTCTCTCACAGTCTAGTAGGCTAGAAGTCCAAATTCAGGGCATCAGCTCCAGGCGATGGCTTTCTCTCTCTCTAAATTCTGGAGGAAGGTCCTTGTCATCAATCTTCCCTTGGTCTAGGAACTTCTCTGTGCAGGAACCCCAGGTCCAAAGGACACACTCTTCTCCCGGTGCTGTTTTCTTGGTGGTATGAAGTCCCCCTGTCTCTCTGCTCACTTCTCTCTTTTATATCTCCAAAGAGATTGGCTTAAATTGTGGATTAATCTTGTAGATTGAGTCTACATAACTGCCGCTAATCCCATCTCATTAACATCAAAGAGATAGGATATACAACACACAGGAAAATCACATCAGATGACAAAATGGTGGACAATCACACAATACTGGGAATCATGACCTCGCCAAGTTGACAGATATTTTAGGGGACACAATTCAATCCATGATGGCATTATTTTTGGTTATTATGAGTAATGCTGCTATGAACATTTGTGTAGTTTTTGTGTAGACATGTGTTTTCAGTTCTTTCGGGTATATACCTAGCAGTGGAATTTCTGGATCACATGGTAACGATTTTAATTTTCAAGAAACTGCTAAACTGTTTTCCAAAGTGACTGCACCGTTTTACATTCCCACCAGCAATATATGAGGATTCCAATTTCTCCACATCTTCACCAACACTTATTATTGTCCGTGTTTTTCATTATAGACATCCTATTGAGTATGACCCCATGTGTTACAGAGTAGAATTGCTCCATATGGTTTTCTTGGCTGTAATCTTTACGAAAGCAGATCATCAGGCCTTCCTTCCGTGGCGCTACTGGGTGGATTCGAATCACCAACCTTTAGGTTAGTAATCCAGTGCAAATCATTTGCACCACCCAGTCACTATGAGTTGGAGTTGACTTGAGGCAATGGGTTTTTTAGTTTAGTGAGTATGCTGCAGTATCTCATTGTAGTTTTATTTTCATTTCCCTTATGACAATAAGGTTGAGTATGTTTACATGTGCTTATTGGCCATTTATGTATATTCTTTGGAGAAATGTCTTTTCAGATCCTTTGGCCATTTTTAAATCAGGTTGTCTTTTTATTACTGAGTTGTAAGAGTTCTTTATATATTCTGGATACAAGTCACTTATCATGTATGTAATTTGCAAATATTTTCTCCCATTCTGTGGGTTGTCCTTTCTTTTTTTTAATTTTTTAAAATTTTTTATTGTACTTTAGATGAAGGTTTGCAGAACAAACTAGTTTCTCATTAAACATGAGTATACTTTTTTTTTTATGACGTTGGTTAACAACCCCACAACATGTCAACATTCTCCCTTCTCGACCTTGGGTTCCCTATTACCAGCTTTCCTGTCCCCTCCTGCCTTCTAGTCCTTGTCCCTGGGCTGTTGTGCCCCTTTAGCCTCATTTTGTTTTATGGGCCTGTCTAATCTTTGGCTGAAGGGTGAACCTCGGGAGTGACTTCATTATTGAGCTAAAAGGGTGTCTGGGTGCCATACTCTCGAGGTTTCTCCAGTCTCTGTCAGGCCAATAAGTCTAGTCTTTTTTTGTGAGTTAGAATTTTGTTCTACATATTTCTCCAGCTCTGTC